CACACCCCACACTGCCCAGACTACACCCCACCCTGCACCCCACACCACCCCGGTCAGCACCAGGACTGCCTGCACCCGTACCCGGGCCCCGCACCCCACACTGCCCAGACCACACCCCGCACCTGCACCCATACCCACACTGCCCAGACCACACCCCGCACCCCGCACCCCACACTGCCCAGACCACACCCCGCACCTGCACCCACACCCACACTGCCCAGACCACACCCTGTACCCCGCACCCCGCACCCCACACTGCCCAGACCACACCCCGCACCTGCACCCACACCCACACTGCCCAGACCACACCCCACCCTGCACCCCACACCACCCCGGTCAGCACCAGGACTGCCTGCACCCCACACCCGGGCCCCGCACCCCACACTGCCCAGACCACACCCCACCCTGCACCCCACACCACCCCGGTCAGCACCAGGACTGCCTGCACCCCGCACCCGGGCCCCGCACCCCACACTGCCCAGACCACACCCCACACCCAACACCCACACCCACACTGCCCAGACCACACCCCACCCCGCACCCACACCCACACTGCCCAGACCACACCCCGCACCCAACACCCACACCCACACTGCCCAGACCACACCCTGCACCCCGCACCCCACACTGCCCAGACTACACCCCACCCTGCACCCCACACCACCCCGGTCAGCACCAGGACTGCCTGCACCCACACCTGGGCCCCGCACCCCACACTGCCCAGACTACACCCCGCATCCCACACCCCACACCCACACTGCCCAGACACACCCTGCACCCCACACCCCGCACGGCCCAGACCACACCCCGCACCCTGCACGGCCCAGACCACACGTCCTCCAGTGGCTGGGCCTGTCCTCCTCTGGCCGGGCCACCAGGGCAGCAGCACCAACGTGCCCCACAGACCCCGAGTGGACCTCACCCAGTGCAGGAGGAGGCCTGGGCGTGGGGTGCCCGCTGCTCCCTGGCTTTCCCCGGACATGAGGGGGACACTGCTGGAAGCCCAGTGCCACGTGTGCTCCCCATTTGCTGAGACCATCAAGGAAGAACAGACCCGAGAGGGGTCTGCTCCCCCTCGGGCGGGTGTGAAGGGTGGCCATCTGAGGACTCCCAGTGATGTCTGCAGTACCCCAGACGTGGCCTCAGCACCCCCTTGAGCTGGGTGCCGGGCCCCAGAGCAGGGCTGGGCTGGGCCGCCTCTCAGGCCGCTGCCCCCAGCGCTCTAATCTGAGACTCTGCTGCAGTCCAACCCAGAGCTACAGCCACAGAAGCAAGCGAAGCAGGCCTGTGCCTCCCACGGTCGGGCAAGCCCGCCCCAGGGCTGGCAGGACAGTTCTGGTGGTGACCCACAGCTTGCTGTGAGGCCCAGCATGGTGCTGCTGGCTGCCTGGACCCTGCCCAGGGTCCCGTGGGAGCACCAGGAATACCTCCCCAGGACTCAGGCGTGGGGAGACAAGCCCCAGCTCCGGGAAGGCATCTCAGGATGCCTTTCACACATCACAGACCCGGAGCTGAACACAACGGGAGGGCTCTCCTTCCTTCCTCATCTCCCTGGGCCGCAGTGCTGGGTATCCAGTGCTGCTCCACCCAGCCGCCGGCCTGGCTCTGGGATGGGACTCTGCCTGCGGCCCCGTGGAAGGCCCCTCCCTCAGAAGGGCCCAGGCACTGCATTCCATTTTGATTCTGATTTAGCTAAACCACACCTGATTAATGAGGATATAAAATACGAAGCTCATTAGTTGCAGGAGGTGGGTGAGTTAATGATTATGATGTTATAATCAGCCATTACACAACACCCTAAAATACAGTGTGTCTTAAAATTAATCCATAAGTCAGGAAGGAAGATTAAGTTATACTTTTCAGAGTGAAAGAGAAAATGTCCGTACAACAGTGAACCCACGTCCTGGGTCCAAATCCCTGCTCTCTGTCACAGGAAGAACCTGCCTGGGTAACGGCACGGGCTGGGAATCACAGTGACCACGTCACGGGAGGAGAGGAGGCCAGGAAGAGAGGCCAGGAAGAGAGGCCAGGAAGAGAGGCCAGGAAGAGAGCCGCCTTCCGGATCCACAGGTGCCACAGGGAAGGGGACCCACATGGTTTCCAAGACTCTAATGGAGGACAGGCAGGGTGACCACCACAGAACCAGGGAGGACAGGCAGGATGACCACCACAGAACCAGGGAGGACAGGCAGGATGACCACCACAGAACCAGGACAGGCAGGGTGACCATCACAGAACCAGGGGGGATAGGCAGGGTGACCACCACAGAACCAGGGAGGACAGGCAGGGTGACCACCACAGAACCAGGGGGGATAGGCAGGGTGACCACCACAGAACCAGGGAGGACAGG